TTTCTTCCAAGGGCTTCTCGTAGTGCTGGAAATACATAGGGACCATAATTTGTCATAAATGTCAGCAATTGACAAATCAATATGTGATAGTGGTGGTATATCATTGTTCTATGTATAGTATAGAAAGCAACCTCAGATCGTTTTTGGAAGAGATATCAATAACTTGAACAAAAGGATAGGCATGAGTTATGGGGATATTAATATACCTGATAAAATGCATGATCTATTTGGTTGTTAATATCCACAATAAATCATTGTGAACAATTAAATCTTTCCTCAAAATTATTGATCTGGGTGACTATCTAACAAGATACCTCTAAGTTCCATGATGGAAAAAGACACAGAAGAGTCTGATTTTTTTAGAGGAAAGCAGATAGAAAACATAAGAAAGGTAGGCATGTCTGGGTGAGGCTTCTTGGACAAGATAAAAACATTTTTAGAAAAGAAAAGGGATTCTAATATCAAAGTGGGGGGATTTATCAGAATTTGGCTTGGCCCATCCTTGATTATTGGCTCAGTTTAAATTGCTTTGGCCAGCTCTCCAGCCAAAGCCACTTTCTCACAATCCGCTCCACTTTGGTGCTGTATGGGTCAATTGGAAAAGTATCAACTCTGTAATGAACATCACTTCCCCAGTACCTGGGATTGTACCACCAGGTTTCTCTCTTGAGCCAACTTTCCTGTGTCACTTTGTTGAATGCATTTTTCAACCTCTTTGTAGTGAGGGGAGAATGTTTTAATAAATTTCTCTTTCCATCTGGTTTGGCCCTAGAAATGAAGCCTGTGCTCTCTGGAGTGATGACAAGGTTTAGGTGAGATTCACTCACAGCTGTGGCAAAGTTCTTGAAGGACTCCCATTGGGTTGTCTTTGCTGTGTCTTCTGCCAAAAGAGGACCTGCTTTAAGTCATAGATTCAACAGCTCTAGAATCCTGGAATTTACTATCAAGTCCTATTGATTATTGCAACACTATTCAAAATGTTTTTCATTTGTCTCTAAACCTTGATTTCAATCCAAATATTTGGGTGACTCAGAGTCTTAGTTTGATTATATTAAATATTTTTCATAGTATGCAGGTGCATAAATCTAAGGCTTCCTTTAAAATGTTTTCCATACATTTTTGGTAAAATCTTTCAAGACAGAGATTTTAAAAAGATCTATGATATATCTACATTGTTTTCAAGATGAAATTTCTTCCCATTGCTCCCACTGTTTTATATTATGTTCAAACCAAATGAATGTACTTGCCTCTCCTAACCTCACATTAATGGTATACTTATGATTAAATTAAACATGGAAAGATGAAAAGATATTAATTATAGCACTTTAACTCATGAAGTTATGTTTGAAGGAAACAAAAGGAGAGAATTTCCTTGAAAGATGAAGCAGGTTTTAGTATATATAAAATAGGAAAGTGCAGTCTAGGCACAGAAAACACTATCGACATAGGTAGGGAAGTTAGGGAAATCATTCAATGCCTCCAGGGATACTGGCTAAAAGTTTCACTATAATTTGTAGATGACAGTAGCAGCAACAGTGAAAACTACAACTTACGTGCCATCATTTACTGACTACTTTATGTAAAAAATTTTTCATATATTTAACCAGATTTGACTCTTATTACAACACCATTTCAGATAAATAATATTTTTTAGTTTTCAAATGAGAAAATGGAACCTCTCTGAGGTTAGGCAACATGCTAAAGTAAGTGATAGAAATGAAATTCAACTGAACCTAAAATTTCTTATATTTCCACACATCATAAAATTCAGGGACTAAATTTTGCTATTAAGGAATCATCAGAGTGATGTATAATTCTGGACACCCTCCCACTAATACTGAGCAGGGCCTCTGTATTGAAAGGGAGAAGTTATTTAAAGGATGGGACTTTTCACAAAGAAAGATGTTTGGTGTACAGTGGACAAGAAGGATGGGATCTCTTCCATTAAGACCCACCAAGAATTAACCAGTCATTCCTGGGAATAGTTATGATCAAGAATGGAAGAAACCTGTGTTCCAATACCATATCTTTTGTGACCTTGAAAAAGTCATTAGCTTTTTGGGACAGTATTATTATTAGTTCTTCTACAGAAGAGAAGGATTTGATATGCAGTTTTAAATGGCCATGCACAAAAGATTGAAAGAGAGGAATATAACCAATGAAAATGCAAATGTAGAGCCCTCCTCTAAAAGAATAGTGACTAGAATATAAAAATCTAGAATAAGTTGAAACTACATGTTGTAGTTGATAAAAGATGTTCAGATTATATTCGGTGCAGAAAACATAATTAGAAAGGTCTAGCTGCACAGTTTGGGGACACTAACAAAATGAAAACAAGTGAAAAGAATTTCTCCATTTCTTATTTGTTTCCTAAAATGATCAGGTTTGGTTTTCTACCCAGCATTTATCCCGTCTGTCCTTAACTCCTTACTAACAAAATCATTATTTGGGGAGATATTCATACTTTCTCCAAGCTTGTTCTCACTATTCTTAGATCCATGATGGGTCTCAATTAGTTTGATCCATTTGGAGTACTTTGATACATGGATTAGAATATGACATATGGGTGCCAATCAGTCTATAGGGAAAGCTTGGAGGAATTTCTCTCTTGCTCATTTCCTCTCTTTCTCTCTCTTTTCTCTCAAGCATAATATGAACAAGAAAACATGAACTCAGATTGCTTCTGGCAGCCATCTTATGACTACAACCACAATCAGGCTTATTATGATGTTGATGCTATAAGTCATGATCTACAAACATATAAAGAGCAAGCAGCACAGCTCAACAAATCCTGAAGCATGCTCTACCTCTGAAAGGTATACATACCTTAACCATTTTAGGCAGCTTGAGTTGGAACTTCTGTTACTTTCAACCAAGAGCATCTTAGCTAATACACTCTATGTTTTTTTATCAAGAGGAATGATGATCATCAAATTGGAACAATAAAACACATGTGAATGGGTAAAAATTAAAGCCGTAGATATGCCTGGGTGACAGTGTTAAAGAATTCAGATCTTTGAAATGAATTCAAGCCCAAGTGCATTTTAGAGTATGGGAATAATTTATTGATGTGATACCAAAAAGATTATGCAGGTGTAGTCCCAGAATCACTGCAGAAAACCCTAAAAATCTTAGAGACAAGAATAGGAATGGATTCTAGAAATTACACATTAGGTGCATCTCATGGAAAGAAAAGGTCTAGAAGGAACAGTAACAGAGATGATTTGTGAATGCTTCTAAAGTGGAGAAGTGATGATCATTGTGAACTAACCCAAGTGCCTGAAGTCAGACCAAACTAACCTCATTTCCTCTCTTGAGAAGGTTAACAAAGGGCAGATTAGATAAATTTCATAAGCAATATATCTGGATTTCACCAAGGAATTTGGCAAAGACTTGCATGATTTCTTGGCAGACAAGGCAGAGAAATATGTGATGGATGATAGTACAGTTAAAGCTGTAGCTGGTTTAAAACTTGTAGCCAATGAACTTCCATCAAAGGATAAGTGTCACCTTGGAGAGAGGTCTCACAGGCTTCTCTTAAATGATCTGTCTTATGTAGTATTTTGTATCAATAATGAAGATGAGGATATTGAAATCATCCTTATCAAAAGTGAGAGTGCCACCAAGTTGGTTGAAAGGATTACTGATAACTCAAAATGAGATATTGTGATTCAAAAAGGACCTCATAGGCTTTAATGATCACCTTTGCATAACAAAAGAATATTTACTAGCAATTAATTTTTTAAGAGTTCACACTTAGTAGGAATACATATTAACTTCCCAAGAACAAGATGGCTAAGATGATACATAGAAAGTGTGTAAATATGCTGTATCTGTCTATGTGCCGTGTGTTGGTTTGTGTAGACAACTCTCAAAAAAGATACACATATATATACATGAGGAAATTGCTAGGTAAAAAGTCGGTCAAAATTTTAAGATCCAGTAATTGGTCCATGTTTTATACTTTGTAGGTCCAGGGGCAGGGGATGGTGATGGGGTAGCAACTTTAAAAGGAAAACAGTGACCAATGACTCTAATACTACTCTGTTTATTCCTATTAATGTGAAGAACCAGCTCCATTGGGAGGAAGAATGCCTTGTAAAACGAAGTTAGGAATCTAGTTCCCTTTGTCTTATAGTATTAAGTTGTACTGTCTTTTAAAGTCAATATTTGTATTTCGGAGGGGGTGTGTGTGTGTGTGTGTTGAAATTATTCACTTGGAATAATAAAGAAATTTATGTGCTTCTCATGATATTGGTATGATCTTAAAGAATGGTTGAAATTAAGATAATTATACCCACACCAAATTTAGAGTGCCAAAGAGCACTGCTAATTTTCTGTAGAAGCTGCTGAGGCATTATTCCAGAAAGAATGAACTGAGTCTTGGTGAAGAGAAGGAGGAGCTGCAGGATAGCTCCTGAGCTAAAAACAATCCCTTTGCATAGACACTAGTCCTTTCCTAAGGATGGTAGAAAATCCAGGGTGGATATTAGAAAACAAAGCAGTTGCACAAATTAGGAACTGATATGTCTATGAAGCCATCACTCTGAAATATTTTAACTTCCTTCTCAAGCCGTCTCTTTGGATCAAAGGAAAGTCATATTTCTCCTGTGATTTCAAATCATTTGTTCTTCTACATTTCAAAACTTAGTACATCTTAGAATCTCTATATTAGACCAAATTAACTCTTAAGAATAAAATTTATATTAGATTTATATGCATGTATTTTCAGGTGTATTAATGGATCATGAAGGATATTTCAAAAGACATTTGAAAATACTCATCTTTTAAAATTATATTAATATTTTATTGCATGAATGTAAAATGTTTTATAGTACTAATTTACTAAATTTTATGTCTTCTGTAAAATAAATACTATTTTAAAGCATATTGGAATTAATAACAGAAGTAATGAAAAGAATAATTGCCTGAAAAACTCCCAGTAGGAAACTTATTCTCATTTTTATCATCCATCCTTTTGATAAGAAATGCTTACAGTGTTATGGACAAACTTGACCTTCTTTGAAATGTGTTGTCCACTGCTTTTCTGTTTCTGTCACAGTAGCTCTAAATAGCTGTTTAAGGATATCCTTGTCTAAATCTCTGCCAATAAAGACCAATCAATTTGTTCTCTCAGTGTCATCTTTCCAGCTCAGTGGAGCCTCTGCCAGATCATAGAACTCATAGACACCTTGGGCAATCACTTGTTGTGGTTTGTCTTTGACTGACACCAGCCCCTTTAGCCATACGACTTCCATGCAATCACCATCCTTGTTTCTCACATTCTTTTCCCACAGAAGGTTCTGAATAAAAACATTTCAATTTTTTTCCTTTGCATTTCCTGGTACTTCAAATGTGATTGTAACAATACTCTGATCAAGGTGAGGTTGTGTTGCTGGCACATGATGAAGTCTTTTCTGCAAATTTATTCCAGAGAGACCGTCAAAAGCATGAAGATCTAATACACCAGACAGATCAACTCTTGATCTCTGTGTTTCCAAAATTTTTCCTAGTCCATTTATTGATCTAATGGTTGTTCTTAATTTGTTTAAATCTTCTTCTGGAACCAAGTGTGTTTTATTGATGAGAATGATATCTGCCAAAGCAATTTCTCTAGCAGCTTCATTGATAAGGCCACCAGGTTTTATTTCTATTAAATATTTCAATCCATATTTTGAATCTACAACAGTTATGATACCATCAAGATAGATATCACTCCTTAATTCAGCATCAACCCAAAAGATAGAGGCTACAGCACCAGGATCTTCTAACCCAGTGATCTCTAACAGTATGTAATTAAATTTCCCCTTCTTCTCCATCAAATCCTCCATAGATCTAAGGCCATTGTCCTTCACTGAACAGCAGAGACAACCATTTCCAATTCTAGCCTCTCTGCATAGAGCTCTCCACCTTGGCTAACAGCTAAGGATTTCTCCACTGCACTTCCTTCCCCAAATTCATTTAAAATATCTGCTATTCTTTTGCTATGTTGTTCTGTCAAAATATAGTTCAGAAGTGTTGCCTTACCAGCACCTCCAAGATATTTGCTCTCAATCAGGAGGCCCAGTACCTAAGAAGAAGAGGCACCAGTAGCCTCCAAGATCCCAGGACACCAGAGTTCACCGCATTTTCTGGCCAGGATGGTTAGTTACCTAAAGACTCGGTGATAACTGTGACTGGGATCTTCGTGTCAAGCCTAGACTTTTTCTTCTCCTCTCTTTGCTTTGCTGCAATGGGAACAAATTCAGGACAGTCCACCTTCATATGCTCCTCTTCCTCATCCACAGCTTCAACAGCCTAAAACAACCCAGCCTATAGCATGGCTCTGTCTCAATTGAAGAGCTCTCATCTTTGGAGGGTACAATTATGGAAGGTTTGGATGAGATGGCTTTTGTTTTATGCTTTACCTGCTTTTGGTATGGTTTGAAGTCGTTACAATAAGAATGCATCTTTTTATAATTTTTTAAAATGTTTTATTTCAAAAATTAACAAGAATATGGATTTAGATTAACTAACTTCTAAATGTCACAGAAAAAAATAAACTGAAATATTATTTGGCTGAACATCATGTATAGAAAAAGACAAAAACTTTTTTCATAAACTAATCTGAGCTTATCTTGAGTGTTTTATTATTATTTAATCCTGGTGCCATATTTTAATGTATGACGTGAACATCAAAAAGAGAGTTATTATCAGTGGTTGTCTACAAGAACCAGTGTTGCCACATAGAGATCGTGGAGAACTAGAAAAGGGATGCCAAACTCTGAACAAGGCAGAGTCCGATGCAGCATTTTGTAGCCAGGTAGGCTGGCTGGGAAACCATCCCATCTTGTAAAATCTGCTGGTGTTTAAATGATAGCAATTAAATGAATTATTTAAAATCAGTCTATGGGCTAAATACTCATGCCATGGGCCACCTGGGTATGATATTTAATCAAAGAGGAATGTGGTCATGATAATAAAGGCTTTTGAAACTAGTTCATGAGTGGAATAACTGAAGACACCAGAGAGTTTTCTCCTAAGGAATTCAGGAAGAAAAAACTTTTAAATGATTAGGGAGGCTCAGAAAGGACATAAGACTTGTCTGTCGAGAACTGAGCTCTCCAGCTTTATTTACAGAAGCTTGATGACAACCTGTTAAGGATATTGAAGTGGGATCCCTGTGCTGGGTAGGAAGCTTTGTTATCTCTAAAGTCCTTCTGAAGATAAGATTGTTTAAGTCTTCATCTGGACCATGAAGAAAGGATACCACATTGCCATACTTGTTTTTTTCTTTCAAGAAGTCAATGTAAATTGAGACTCTGAATGATCAAAGGCATGTTGTGGGAATTTTTTTTATGGCTTTCTTTTTGAAGTCTGTTGGATTTTTAAGCTCCCCACTAGAAAACCCACATATATGGTTTAAGAGTTGAACAAGTATGTAAAAATAAGTTTATTCTGACTTTATTCACATTTTTCATTTTAACAGAATTTCTAAATGTGTTTTTGTGCTCAGATATGATTTTAAAGCTTCAGATATTTGATGATGCCAGTTGCCCTTTTTTTTCATTTTATAACATTTCAAGAATTTTACTTTTTGTGCAAAGATTTTACCTTTAATCTAAAACAATATTCTAGTGCCAGTAGGAAACTCTTTTGTTAGGGTCTAATATTAAATGTTGACAATATGCCAGTGCTCTTCTAAGTGCTGTACCAGGGTGGGGCCATTTTATTCTTCCAAGATCTGTATATAAAGATATTGTCTTTATCCCTATTTTTCATCTATGGAAACTGAGGCACAGAGAAGTTAGACAACTTGTTCAAGGTCAGAAAGCTGGTAACTGGTGCAAGTTGGAATTTGAACTCAAGAAGTCCTGCTCTAGTCTATGCCTTTATGCTATGTTGCCTGACAAGTCTCTGGAGATGACTTCAAAGAAAGCCTTACATTAATTTTCATTTTGGAGAGAAGAAGATGACACCAAAGTGCATTCAATTTTTTTCTTCTCTGAATATTTTAAATGAGTTTGGATAAAAACCCAAAACTTAGCACCTAGTCAGTGGCTAGCCCAAGACAGGTACTCAGAAAATATTTATTAAGCAAACTAATTAGTGACTAGTGTATTAATTTATAAATGATTGTTGAATTTCGTAATACACACGCACACACACACACACACACACACACACGCACATAGACACCCCTGCACTCTTCATGGTGCTTAAAATAGTGTTGACCATAAAATATTATGTATGGTATTAAATAATACAGGGCATTGCTGAGACTTTTTCATGACACTTTTCACTACTACTTTTCTAATTGAATAATCAAGGGCTAAATGATGTAGTGGATATTAGTTGATTGATTTCTCCAACAACCTTTGCCTCCTGTCCTCTTCTCAACAGCCTCTATTTTTTGTAAGAGAATCCATGAGTTTCTAGATAGGCTGACTCCACTTCTGGGTTCAAGGGTGAGGTATATAAGCTAGGTTGAGGAAATGCATTTATTTGACCACAGTGATTGCTTTGGATTGGAAAGGAGACCAAGACATTCTAATGAGAAAGAATCTCTGGACATCTGTTAGAATGTTGCGACAAAGGGCCCTCTTGACTGGCTGATGTGCTGTGTGTAGGAGGAAACTAAAGCTGCCTGCAACCCTGTTTTGCCGCTATGCAGGAAGCCAGACCAAGGATGAAGTCAATGCATGGATTTGGGAAAAACTAGAGAGGCCCAGCAAAACTGAGCCAGAACCCTGATGACAATGCGAACATCTGAATCAACATGGATATAAATATAATCTACGTTGGATATTTGAATTGCATGAACCAATACATTCTCTATTTTAAAAATTTGTTTTTACTTACTATTATAAAATGTATCAGACGTTCAGAGAATAATTTCACTAATACTTGTTAGAGTATTGCTCAGACTTAACCAAGAAATTTATCACTTTGCCCTGCTTGCTTCAGAACTCTTAAATAAATAAAAATAATTAATTTCAGACACAATTTAAACTAAGTACATATGCCTTCCTAATCTAGTTCCCTTCATTTTTAAATGTTAGGGTTTTACCACATTTACTTTAAAACTTTCAGATAAATGAAAACAGCTACAGAATTAATTGAAGACTTTCCTCTACCTCTTCCTATCCCATTCCTTTATTCTTTTTTTAAAGGTAACCAATATGCCAAAATATGTATCTTTCCCATCCATTTTTTGTTTTAATAATATTATTACATTTATTTGCATTATAATAACAATCCAGTATGGTTTGTGTGTTTTTGGATGCATAAACATCTTCTGTACGTATCATCTTGCAGCTTGTTTTTTAGTCAGTATTATATCTATCATCTTTTTAAAAAAAATATTTGCCAGTGCCATACTTTTTCTCCTTTCATGCATTTGTTAGATTGAGAAAAGCCTTTGTATTCCTTTATTATTATTATTATTATTTGCTGTTTTGAAAATTGTATTTCTATTTTTCCTATGGTGACCCTCAAATGTATAACATAAATACTTAGCTGTATTATTTTCTAGTGGAGTCTAAAATTATTAAGTACTTTAGCCTACTCTTGAACAAGACAAAAATCTTAGCATGCCTTAAGCATAAAATAATTGACCTCCTTTCTTTGTATAGCATTCAAAATTTAAATTCTACTTAAGGAAAAGAATGAAACAATATCATTATTTTCTCTCAATCAATTATTTTAAAGACATGAGAAAACAGTCAGGCTAGGTATATAGAAATAGATCTTAAATGACCCCCTTTCCTGCCCTTTTTTCTTCATCTAATGCAATCTCAACAATCACAGCCTATACCAAGTCTTCCCTTCTCCAAGAATCTTCACCACCTTAGCCCACTGATCAGTCCACATCTGAAATTCTTCTGCACTTATTGACTTTGGTTTTCATTTGATGGCCAATCATAATTACACCCTAGTATCTTATATCATAATCTTTATCTTAACTTAACTTTCTATTTTTCTATTGATAGTTTTCTATTTTTTCTTTAGTAGAAGTTGCATTCCTTGAGGAACGGTAGCATAGTCTCATAATTCTTTGTGTACCCTATTGGGGCTTTCACACAGGAGGGGCTCCAAAAATGCTCCTTGATTATCTGTTACTAAATGAAACATTCCCAATGGGATTGAAATCCAAGATTTAGTGCTTGGTCATTAGGGAGCCATAGTGTTAACTGCTGAATTGTGGGGAGACTTCACACTGTGTAATGTGAAGAGAAATATCTTACACTAAGAGAGCAGTTTAGCCCAACACCTAGACTATGCTAATGAAGCTGTTCTCAAGTCCCTTTCTGTGAGCTGCTGAACATAGGCAGATAATTTAACTGCTAGTGCAGGACAAGAGAAGAAACACTGAGCCACTGAGCAGTGAGACATGACCAAAAATCTCATACAATTCTCAGCACAGGAACTGATAGTGATGGAAATTATCAGATATGTTTGAATGAGAAACTGCTTACCAGTAATTTTTTCCTATTAGTAGTTATTATGGTGTCAATATGTGTGTGTGTGTGTGTGTGTGTGTGTGTGTGTGTGTGTGTGCCTCTATGTGTGTGCAGAAATTTTGGGGGCCATAGGAGGAACATAACACAGTAGAAGATACTGTAATGTAAAAGTTGGTATAAGCCATATGTGGATTTAAATCCTGTTTATATTACTTACTTGATTTTTTGTGAGCTGGGAAAGTTATTTATAGTTTTGAGCATCAACTTCCTTGTCTGGAAAATGGGCATAAAATATTTACTTTGGGGGATTATTTTTAAAGTTTAGGTAAGATATACTACATGGAAAGTGCTTCAATAGCACATTGGATAGCACAAGATAGCTAATATTTGTATCTATATTAATCTTATTGGGTGAAAAATATAGGTCAATAGAATGCAGAGACTAGGGCAGTGGTAGGGGGTCAATAACTCCTTCAGCCAACCTTGAGTCAGGTTAGATAATAAAAGTTATGAATACCTTTGTGGGTTCACTTTTTGATTTTCCTAAAACCATTGCTACCACAATTCCTTGTTTTGGAAACTGTAAACAGAACCCATCATGCATGAGAAGCAAAGAACACGCCTCTGTTTCTGCTTTCTTGGGCTCAGAGGTTTCTGCAGCTTTTCTATGCTTGTCTGAATTTTTATTTTCTGCCACAAAGGAAGGATGCTTCAACATAAAGGGTGAAACAGTAATAATGCAAGAAGGAGCAGAGCTCAGTAAGCATATTATCAGTTGCTAGGATTTCCAGGAAAATTTTTAAATATCTTTATAGAAAAATATACCCCAGCTATCCTCACAGGCTCTTATAGGAGAGATGCAAAGAGACTCTGCTACTGAGTATCTGCCTTCATAATTGTGCAGTCATGGATATGTCTACAGAACTTTCTCATATTCACTAACTCGCTCATTCATGTATTCAAATGAACACTTGGCCTCTTCTATTAGCTCACATTCAGGAAAGACTTTGCAGATTGAGGCATATACAGTTCTTTTGGTCTATGTGAGTTCCAAGTTTAGCCTAATGCTTGTCACATAGTAGAGATTTATTATGTAATTGTTGAATGGATAGATGATTTCGTAAGAGCAAATATCTGCTGGGGTGGACAAGCAAATAAATGGGTGCTATCTCACAATTTTTGTGAATACTTACACTGGAAATTTAAATGGACATCCAAGATAATCTTTTCAAAAGATATGTAACTGTATTCATTTGTATCCATATTGTATTCATTTACCCTTTTTAATTCATGAAGTCGCTACAGTTTTTTCCTGGATCCATCTTCTCGTCTGCTGTTTCATGGTGAATACAAATCTTAGAAACAGAAAGCATTTACAAATCAGGTTATGAAACAGTCCCAATATGAAGAGGAAACGTGGGTTTGGGACTTAATTCCCATATTGAATTGCTGTATTACTTTTGTTAACTCTCTTCTTCTCTGTGGGCATCAGATCTCTGATTTGAGAATGAAGACGTGAAATTAGATCAACTCCAAGGTATTTTTTTTTTTTGTCATTGTTCCCAAGGTCTAAAATTTTTTTTTTTTTTTTTTTGAGACAGAGTCTCACTCCTTTGCCTGGGCTAGAGTGAGTGCCATGGCGTCAGCCTAGCTCACAGCAAACTCAAACTCCTGGGCTCAAGAGATCCTCCTGCCTCAGCCTCCCGAGTAGCTGGGACTACAGGCATGTGCCACCACGCCCGGCTAATTTTTTCTACATATTTTTAGTTGTCCAGATAATTTCTTTCTATTTTTTTTTTAGTAGAGATGGGGTCTCGTCCTTGCTCAGGCTGGTCTCAAATTCCTGAGCTCAAACAATCCGCCCGCCTCGGCCTCCCAGAGAGCTAGAATTATAGGCGTGAGCCACCGCGCCCGGCCTCCAAGGTCTAAAATTTTAAGTGGCATTGAAGTTCAAAGAACAAGATTATTAGAAAAGGATATGGTGTTGAAGAAAAATTCAGGCAGGCATGGTTCAGATCCTAACTCTTCTGCCAGCTGTATGACTTGGGGCCAATTGCTTAACTTTAGATAAACCATGCAGTGTGTGTGTAAGAACCCAGGCTTAGGCTAAATTCATATGCCAATTTTGCCATTGAATTATTCTGCAAATTGGGACAATTTATTTAACATCTCTTCAATTCCTTTTCTCTAAGTTTAAGAGGGCACTTAAAACACTTGGTGTTTGATTTAAATTAAATAATGAGTATTTAGAAAGCAGAACAATATCTGAAATACATATGTATATATATAAATAATGTTGCCCATAATAACAATAGTTCTGATTTTATTAACATCTCTAGGCCTCCCAATCTCCTCATATGTCTGATTAGGATAATAGTTTATACATAGTCAGTTCACTGTTTATAGGCACTTGATCATAATCACTGCATTCATTTGCTGAGAGCAAAGTGTATGTTAAGAAACAACCTGTGCACTTTATGTCGCTGTTGTTTTTAGAGATTGAGGTATCTGGAGAAGGCTTTACGGAGGTGGCTGGAGCTGGATTGTGAAGGATTGTTTACATTCATTATTTTATTCTCACTAAATATTTAGCCTATTATTTCTTGAATGCAAATGGCGTGACAGACACTGTTCTAGGAAAGAGATGAATAAGGCTAAGTACCCGCTCTTTGTTTAGGACATATTCACCGGTCCCCAACCTTTTTGGCACCAGGGACCAGTTTCATGGAAGGCAATTTTTCCACGGATTGCGGGTAGGTGATTGGGGGGTGGGGGTGGGAGGCAGAGCTCAGGCAGTGATGGGAGTGATGAGGAGTGGACATAAATACAGATAAAGCTTCTCTGGCTTGCCCACTGCTCACCTTCTGCTGTGTGGCCCCTGATTCCTAAGTTTCATAGAAGACATTTTTCCATGGACCAAGGAGAGGCGGGTGGGTGACTGAGCTCTGGCGCTAGTCCCTAACAGGCCACAGACCAGTACTGGTCCACGACCCAGAGGGTTGGGGACTACAGTTCTAGAAGAACCACAGACAATATAAAAAGAAACAAATAAATACTGTTTTGATAGTAAAAATTTCTGTAAAGTAAATGTTGCAATGCCAAGGAATCACAACTGTTGGGAGAGGGATGGAATGAGATTTATAAAGCTATTAAAGGAAAGATTTACATTGGAGACTCAGGAGGCAGAGAGTGAGAGGCGGGTGCAGGATGAAAAATTACCTATTGGGTACAATGTACACTATTCAGGTGACAGATATATTAAAAACCTAGAAGTCTCCATTATGCAATTCAGCCATATAATAAAAAACCATTTGTACCCTCTAAATCTACTTAAATAACAAAAGAGAAAGCTTGTGATAATCCTTTGCAAGAAAAAAAAAAGGTTTATAGGCACTGAAGATTTTTTTAGGGGTATATATTGAAGTATTGTTCTTACCATATTAGTATAAAGTTGAATAACATAATTTTCCTCTGATTTATATTGTTTTATAAACGCGTTTCTCCTGCTGTTTAACATGAACCTTAAATGCCTGGGGTCTCCTTCCCCCACAAGTGGTTTCTCTATTTTCAGGTTCTCCGGTAGGTGGACAATCCAAAATGTAGTGTACCCACAATGTAGGCATTTGACAGTTTTTATGCTAGGGTTGTACAGGCAGAGCCATAGACACTTAGAATGCTTTCTGGGAAAGAAGTTTCCGGTGCAGTGTTCACTTCAGGGATTTGGGGGGTGTGACTGCAGTGCATTCATCTTCCCTTCCATCTGTCTTTGACCACATGAGAATGAACACGAAAAAGTCCTGTGAATCTTGGGAGAAGAAATCTAACAGTTGGAAAATGAGGCCAGGAGATTAGCTTTGATGCCATGCCTATCCCACCTTGCTCCTCAAGCAATTTCAGATGGGATGCATGTGAAGAACACAGTGAAGACACAACTGTCAAAGTAAAAGTGATGTACAGGAAACCAAGGTACATTCAAACTAAAACAGCTATAGAGCATCTGGTATGAGTTTGCATTTCATCTTAATTATTTAAGATTGGAGGTTGTAACAAGAGGAAAATGGAGCTATTTTGAAGGTTTCTGATACTGGGGACATGGAGATAAGGAACAGCAGCTGCTTTTGTGGAAGAATGAATGGGAACTAATTTTTTTCCTGAGAACCTCTATATGCTAGACATTGCACACTTTACATTCATTATTTCAAATACAACCACACAATCGTACCACCTAAATTTGAACAACATTTTTGATGTACAAATATCATTCATACTTGTTCATCAGCATAATCCTAACAAATCTGTTTTAGGTACAATGTAACTAAAAGTATAGATTCTGGATTAGAATTGGTGAATTCAAACCCTAACTTCACTACTTTATTCGTATATGACTTTGGATGAATTTCTTTCACTATGCACTGCATTATTCTCATTTGTAAAATAGAAATGAAGAGAATATTGACTACCTAGGAGGATTAAATATGATAATAAAAGTAAAGCACTGAAATTAGGACAGTGGCTGGCACACAAATGTGCAGTAAATGTTAGCTGATATTACAATTCCAATATTATATCTAGAAGAAGAGGGCTTTAGAAAATTAAATGTCTTCCCCAAGAATTTATAGATAGCAATTGGCTATGTTTGGTCATAAGTTTTGAGTCATGCTATTCATTTTTGAATACATATTGCATTTAATGCCCTGTGATTATCATTGAAGACAGAGAAACAGACATATCACCTACTCCAAAGGGACTTTCCTAGTCTCTTCTTTTTTGAGGTAGAAAAGAACTCATGTCATAAGAAGCAATGGAGAAAGAGTGTTGGCTTACATCTTACTTAACACTTATTAGAGTTTATCCAAGAAGATTGGAAAGTATTCACTGAATATGTTCTAAGGTATGTGAAAATTTTCACCAAAACTTTAAAAGGGTTACATTGAATGATGAATAAAACAACTTTAGGTGGCAGAAAACTTCAATTTTGATGACTAGAAAACATCAAAGTATTCTAATTATTTTTGCAAACCGAAGATCCCTTGACTGGACCAAAAGAAGACACATGAAAAATAGGGAGGCTAGTGTGGAGTGGAAGAAGAGGTATAGGAGCAATGTAAAGGAGGCGAACATACTTCTCTTTATATGAATCTATTTCAATCTTTTTCCAACACTCTTTAGTGATTTCCATTGCCCAAAGGAGACAATCTTAGATGCTTAAACGAGTCTGAAAGTATTTCTAAGAACTGAGCTTCCCCACCTCATCTCCCATGTGTCTCTCATTCCTTTCGCTCTGTACTTGAGAAATACTGAACGGCTCAGCTGCACACTATATGATTGTGCACATGAGTCTGAGTCATCTCTTCGACTTGTCCCCATGCCCGAAATTCCTTTGACATCAATTCTTGGCCACACTGAAATCTGCTCATTCTTTAAATCTCAACTCTGGCTCGTTCGTTCCAGGAAGCCTTTGCTGACAAAGTTAGAAGCTTATTCTCACCCACATAGCATCTTTATCATTGCTCTTATTTCATCATCCTCATATTCTCTGTTTGTGTGTTTTCTCCCTCCGCTTCCTAATTTGGGTTTCTTGAGAATCTTTCGTGGCAACTTTTCCTGAACTCCCATTTCCAGCTGACGATCAGGGGCTGCATCTCTCCTTCTGGTAAGTACAGCAGATCTCTGGGGCAGTGACGGAGGTGTCCTTGCATGGCCTCAGCCATGTGGAGCCTGATAGCAATAGTGCACCCCCTTCCCTCCTCACATGCCCCCCTCCTTACCCAAACAGACATATTTGCCTTGAAAGACGAGGTTTGTCACAAGGTAGAAACTTCTTTTTTTCTTTTAATCATTTGAAATTATATTCTCTTCTCTTTAGTGCTAGCAGGTGTTTCTCCAGCAGGGGATTTCTCAAATCCCTGAAGCATAAGGATAAGCATATAAGCATACACTGAAGTAAGCAAGTATCCCATTATCCAGATTTTAAGTTTGTCACTATGAAAATCTCACCATTAAGTTTATTTTTCATAGACAATTCTCTTGTCTTGGCTGATTGCCAGTTAATCTCCTCATACAGCAGTCCCCAACCTTTTTGGCACCAGGGATTGGTTTCCTCAAAGATAATTTTTCCATGGATGGGGAGGTGGGGCAGGAGGCAGAGCTCAGGCGGAGATGTGAGCGATGGAGAGTGGCTGTAAACACAGATGAAGCTTCCCTTGCTCGCCTGAAGCTCACTTCCTGCTGTGCGGGCATGGTAGAGGGTTTCCTCAGTTCATGGAAGACAATTTTTCCACCAAGGCGGGGACAGGGGGGTGGTGCGGAGCTCTGTGTCTTGGGGGTTGGGGACTGCAGTCCTTATACATGGCATGAGAGGCCAATTTTGGGACTTGAGAGAAATCATAGATTCAAAAGAGTGGATCTATAAAAGCTTAGAATTTTACCCATTTAAGCCAATTGAAAATCTTCCGTGAGCAAAAACAGGTTTTTTTTCCTTCTCTCTCCTCTCTTCCTTCCCTCTTCTCTTCCTTTTTCCTCCTTCTCCTCCCTCTTCTTTTTCACCTTTTCCTCTTCCTCTGCCTCTTCCATTTCTTATCTTTCTCCTCCTCTCCCTGTATCACTTGTACTGGTATTGCATGAATAGTGCTCAAATGTTTTGACACTTGGAAACAAAGGTTCATGCTGCTTTGTTTCCCTCAGAATAGCTTTAATATACATGTGCTCAAATAAAATTTCCATTTCTATTGATTTATTTCACACAAAAAAGGGAATTACCTGACTATCTTCTAGTCATCCTTAAAAACTCAACTCAGATACCAGCTATACCAGAATACATATATATTTTAGATCTGCCTGGCATATAATAAGCAATACATGTATTTGTTATCATTATATTTAATATATCATTATATTTGCTACTATTCTTTTATATTTATCTATCTATCTATAGATAGATATTCAATTATGTATCTCTATTACTCTCGTAGAGTTTCTAGACTGATGCTGTACAATTGAAATATAATGTGAGCTACAAATAATTCAGGTCATATATAAAATATTAATTTTCTAGTAGCCATATTAAAGAGTAAAAAAAGCAGATAAATTAATATTAATAACATAGTTTAGCATAATATAGAAAAAATGTTATTTCAAAATATAATCAATATAAACAATAATGAGATATTTTAGTTTCTTTTTTGGTACTAAATTGTAGAAATCTGGCATGTATATTATATTTTAAGCACATTTTTATTTGGACTAGCCACATTTCAAATGCTCAGATGCCACATGTGACTCACGGATATTGTACTGTAAACACCATTCCATGCCATTCCCTTGTACTGCCAGTGCAAAGCAACAGGTCCTGTGGTATAGGAGTCCTTAAATACATAGTTTTCACAGTGGATTAAATGACTAAAAACATAATTCAAGAACAGAAAAAAATCAGAGGATTCATATTCATATGGAGGATACAAAAAATTATTCATGTCATATTGAGAATATGAATATATTCATATCGATACATGAATATATTCAAATTAGGAAAATATACCACTTTGTGATTGATATATTAGTTTATGATTTCCATAAGTTTAGAAATAAGGAGGATTTTCTGGTGCAGATACAGTATTTTCCAATAGAGGGCAGAGACCTAATCTGTAACTAAACAGTGGGAACTTAGTGGTACCAGAGAGCTTATTCAGTTTGGGAGAACTATTCACACCTACACTTTACAAATGGAGCACCAGTAAGGTTTCTTATAAGCATAGGACGTCATTACACTGAAGGCCCAAACTACTCAGCCAG